CTATCAACATCTATCACAACTTCGGGTTTAAGGGTACAAAATGTATTCATTGGCCCCTTTTGTGCCCAACATCTCCACCAACACCCTAAAACACTGTCCCTTACAACTCTATGCCCACTTCCAACTTTTGGAGTCTTCATATTCTTCATCATTACACATTTGTATCTCATCCAACTAGTCTTTTTGTTTTATTGTTTTCTTTTCTTTTCATAGGCTATCCAAATATGCCATAATCTCTCTTTTAATCTCATCCATTGTTTGAGGGCATACCCTCACATTCCCGATGATTCGGGCAGATGTTGCTTTGGGCAGATGTTGCTTTTGCTAGAAAATAATGCTGTTCTGACATAATATATAAAAAACACTATTTCAATCCCTTGGGTGTTAAATCCCAAATGTTACCATGCCAAATGTTGGGTATTTTATGAAGACAGACATTATTTTAGAAAAAGTGTAGTAGGACATGAAACTTTCCAAAAACGTTGTGGGGGTACAAAATGCATCCATTGGCCCCGTGGGGAGAGACCTTTTGCATTTTCACCAACACTTAAAACACTCTCCCTTATAACCCTATTCTCACTTCCAATTATGAAGTCTTCATGTTCTTCATCATTACATATTTGAATTTCATCCAACAATTCTTTTTGTTTCATTGTTTTCTTTTCTTCTCTTATCTCTCTTCTAAAATCGTCGTTGCTTGAGAGCGTACCTTTACATTCCCGATAATTCCTGCAAACTGTTGCTTTTGCTGGAAAATATCCCCCAAATATGTTGTTTTCTGACATAACATACAAAAACACTATTTCGATCCCTTGGCTTGTTAAGTCCCAAATATTTCCAAGCCGAATCCTTGTTACTTGATGAGGACGAAGATGTCGTTTCATAAAAAATGTAGTAAGACATGTAACTTACTGAAAAAGTTGATCGAAATTCCGATACAAAACCCAAAATAGATAAAAAAAAAAAACTTTCTAGGTTTTAATCTCCTTGGACTTGAATCCCTCAAAATACTAGGTGAATCTTCATCCTAAACCTTCAAAATGATGCCCAAACAACAATCTCAAACAATTGCCCAAAGGTTCAAGGAAGAATCCCCAAATTTTTCATAAGTTTTGGAAACAAAAACAAGAATTGATTTTTTTTTTTTGTTTTTGTTTTTTGGGGGGTGGTTCTTTTATCCCCTTAGAACCATGGAAATATGGTTCTAAGGATTTTTGGGAGGGTTAGGGGGATTATATTTTTTTCCTTGCTCTTGGGTAAGGTTTCCACCCACAAGGGGAACCTATGTGGGCGGATCGTGCCTAATTTGTTGCTCCTGCATTTGCAGGTGCATCACAAATTCCCGCTTGTAGGGGTGGGGTTGTGGTGCCCCTGGCCACATGACATATCATGCGGCTGCATTTGATAGTGATGATCATGATACTGAATGTCAAGAGTGCAAGCCTTGTGGGAAAAATAAAAAACCATATTACTGCCAGTACATGAACTCATTTGAAGCCTCGTGGCCCTCCCTTCCTGCCCCCTTACAGTCATCCTTCTTAATGGCACCAAGAATCCGACTCCAGGTGCAATATCTGATTATGTCACTAATGGAGCAGCCCCATTCAAACACGAATTAATCATTCAATCACTGGATTCTGCAAATTACCTCATTTTCATGTTTTTGCTGACTTCCATTATTTTTTTATTTCTGAAAATCTTATGGTTTTTCATGTACTGCTAACTTTCATAGCTTCCAGCTAGTTTAGTTTGCTGTCTGAACCTCTGACCAGTGGAACCCATCTGCTGTAGTATTACCTATTATTCTATAAATTTGCAGTACTAGATCAAAGGTCCAAAGTCTACTGTGCAAAAGATATAGGAGGGTGACTTTCTTAGTTCTTATGCATTGTGCTCAACACTAGATCAAAGGTCCAAAGCCTACTGTGCAAAAGATATAGTAGGGTGATTTTCTTAGTTCTTATGCATTGAAGGAGACTGGAGCATGTACCCAACTCAGTAGAGGACTTTCTATCACTTCACCATAAGATTGTTCTCATTGTCAAGGCATGAGGTATCATTCTAAACAATGCAAAATCAGGGTAGCTTGTGGTATCACTCATCTTTAATTGTGGGATTACATTAGTCTGTAATTGTTCTCACAGAAAAAGGGCTAATCCTCGTGTACTTCAGCAGAAAATAACAAGCTCACACTTTGATAGTGGATCCATAAAATTCCAGTCTTTAGATATGTCGAACTATTTATATCATAGTTGTCAGGTGCGGGTTCGTTCCCGGGAGGGAGGAGCTGGCTCGGGTCTGCAGAACCATGGATTGTTGGAAGCTCCTTGTGGTTGGGATCGTCGTCCGTACAATTCTATATCAAGGGATCACGATCCTTGTCACAGGGCAGCGCGATTTCATGAGGAAGGAATCACAATAGTATGTTTTAAGGGATCGAGAATGATGCGTGGGTTCACTGTACCATTGGGCATAAACCTGAATATGTGCATATGAATCAGTGCCGAATATAAGAAACATCCTATGCACTCTGTCATACACTTGAGAACTGTGGTTCAAACCTGCTGGGAACAAGGATCACAATATAGAGATCACGTTCCATCCAAGAACCCTAGCTGGAATCGCGGGATCGAGGTTCCGGAGCAGGTATGTGACCTTTCCTACAAGGTTCCAGCAACTATGACTTATATTGTCTGAAAAAGATCTAAGAACCTTTATTCTAGTATGGATTTGTGCCCACAAGATTCTGAAATCAGGGATCTATTTTTAAGGACACCTGATATTATGCTTCCCATAAGTACCGTTGTAATATTAGCCACACTTATTTTTTGTACTTTTTTTCTGGTAAATTGTCATACTCATCCTTCTTATCATTAGAGTTCCTTGTCAATTATCTACATTGTGGGTCAAAAATTATATTTTACAAAAGTGTCTTCTGGTTTTGGGAGCTTGAATTAGACCTTCTGGTTAATTTTGTGGGAGGATTCACTTGTTCCGGCATCTATTCCTTACGAGCTCTAGGCATGGTCTGCTAAATCATGCACAGGCTCATGCATGATGTAATTTACTCATCTGTGCGCAACTACGCTATGTACGTGTAGATTCATGTAGGCATAAAACTTGTGGACTTGATCAATAAAACTAAGATACATATAATGAATGCACATGTAAGTCTAGGCTAGTGTATTACATGTGTCCTATACCTAGTGACGGTCATATCGTCAAAGATTTTTCCCAACTAATTGGGGTCGGCTCATGAATCCTGGTCCGTCATTCTGCTCTATTAAGGGTCATACCCTTAGTGAAACCATAAGCCCTCATATATTTTCTCACTACTTCTAACTATGTCCTTTTGGGTCTATCCCTTATCCTTTATTAACCTTTTATTCGAACTATCTCGCACCTCCTAACAGGTGCTCTATTGGGTCTGTACCACATATGGCCAGCCCACCTAAATCTACTACTATTTATTAACTTATCACCTATTGGTGCCACATCTAAATTTTTTTGAATATCTTCATTTCGAATTCTATCCCTTCTTTGTCTTGCCACTCATCCATCTCAACATCCTCGTCTCTACTACACTTCTTTTATGAGTATATATTATTTTTTGACTGCTTGATATTCCATCCCATAGAGCAAAGCTGGTCTCACAGTTGTCCTATAGAACTTACCCTTCAGCTTCATTGGTACGTGGCGATCACATAAAATTCCGGTTGCACATCTCCTCTTTGCCCACGCAGTTCTAATTCTATGTACAACATCTTCCTCAATCTCCTTATTTTTCTTTATTAATGACCCAAGATATCGAAAGTGCGCTATTTATTGTATTTCCTGACCGTCAATTTTAACTACTTCATTGTCTCTACTCCTATTATTACTAAACTTGCATTCTATATACTCTGTCTTAGTCCGGCTAATTTTAAAACCTTTAGATTCTAGAGCATCCCTCCAATGTCCTAGCTTTGTGTTGATGCCATAGTCTCATTGATCAAAACTATGCCATTTGCGAACAATATGCACCATAGTACCGCATCTTGTAGGTGTCTAGTTAACTCGTCCATAACTAAGACAAAGAGGTATGGACTCAATGCTTACACTTGATGTAGACCTATTGTAACTGAAAGCTCACTCGTCTCTCCATTAGTTGTTCGTACGCTTGTTAGCGCTCCAACATACATATCTCTCACCAAGTCAATGTAGTGTCTGGAAACTCCTTTCTTTTCCAACACCCACCAAATCAAATCTTGAGGTACTCTATCCTAAGTTTTCTCTATAATAAGCTTTCTCTAGATCAATAAAAGACCATGTGAAGGTCTTTTCCCTTCGCCCTAAGTAGAAAAATAGCCTCAGTTGTTGACCTCTTTGAGGCATGAAACGGAATTGGTTTTTTGTTGTTTTATATTTTAGTCGTTGCTCAATCACTCTCTCCCAGAGCTTCATAATGTTGGCTCATAAGTTTGAGCTCCCGATAGTTCGTACAATTCTGTGTATCTCTTTTGTTCTTGTAAATAGGTACCACAGTACTTTTCCACCATTCGTTTGGCATTTTCTTTCTTCTAAACACTTTGTTAAATTTCTTGGTCAGCCAATCAATGCCAATCTTCCCCATGCACTGCCAAACCTCAATACCATCTGGTCCTAAAGCCGTTCCTATCTTCATCCTTTACAAAGCTTCTTTCACTTATGATATTCTAAACCTACGAATCTATCTATGACCTCCGCCCTCATTTATGGAAACAGTTCCTATACCTAGTGGCTATAATAGATAAAATTGGTCATCATGCCCCATGTTGCCGCATTCTTATTTCTAATCTTGGGATGGCCAGAACTTACCAAAAAGAGAAGCAAATCGAGTGTTTTTGTCTAATCGTTTATATGCTAGTGTTCTTATTGGTCTTCTTGTATTTTCTTGCAGTTTGATCAAGTTTATTGATTCTTGTATCATATCAAGACTTTTGTTTTAGCCCTTCAAATAAAAACAATTCCTGTTTTGGCAGCGAGGAGCATCCCCACTGCGCTTTCTGCTGGTGCAGCACTTGCCGTCACTTCTGCAATTGTCGATATCGGGGGTCAGACCACAAGAATTGACAATGGAAAGGAGTATTACCCTTACACCACTGAGAAGGGACCTTCTGTTAGTTAGCTCATGGTTCCATTTCTCTCACTCTAAATAAGTAGTATAGGATCTTCTATCAAAGCATTTACTCTTTCTTAGAGGAGAGCTTATTACTTCGGAGAGTAATGGATTTGCATTTGTGGTTTGGACTGTGTCTTCTTTCGTCTCTTTACTGAAATTTCATATGTTGTTTCATGGATATGTGGATTTTGCTACTTTGCACTAGTGCTGGATAAAAAGAGAAAAAGGAAAAGGGAGGCCTTTGAGGTAACTCCTGGTTCTTTGTTGTTGGTCTGTATTCGTTGTGGGGATTCCATGAACTGAAATTGAAATGTGGATTGAGAAAGGAGAGAAGGAAATAAGTTTTCAGGAGATACAGCAGGTTTTAACCGGAACTTTTTTTACTGAGTTAAGAGGTTTTATATTCTTTATCATCATCTGAGTCTTATTTCATGTAGCCGACCCTAGAAAAAAGAGAATTAGTGTTTTAATCGAGGTAGTGGAGGTTTTCATCGAAGGATGTTTTGCTGTTATTGGGTATTTTTATTTTTATTAGTTTTTTGGAATTTCTTACTCATCCTCGGAACTTTGAGGAAACTGGTCTAATATTAGTGTGAGGGCCCATCTTGGAAAACTCAGTTGCCAGTTTGAAGCGGCTTTCAAGTCCCAAAAACAATAAAGTTGCATCTCTCTCTCTGCTGGACTGAATTTGCGGCTGTGTTACCTTTCTCAAATTCACTTAGTATCGAAATGTGTTGAAGTCCAGTGATTGAAAAATTGGCCGAGTAAAAACTACTCAGCCGAGTTACTCGGGCTTGGGCCCTTGCTGAGCCCGAGTTGTCCCAAGTTGGGTGTCCAACTTGGGGATATTAAAAAAATTTCAAAAAGAATCATAAAAAATCCTAAAAAATAAGGAATTTATTTGCGTTATGTTTTTTTTACGGTTTCTATCATTTTGGCAAAGATTGACAAGTGTTATTAGGCATAAATACTTATTTTTATATTTTTTCCTCTTTTCTGGATTAAGTGTTTTACTTTATTTTACTTTAAACGTTCATTTTTTATATTAAAAAGGTTATAATTTTTTTACCTTGTTTTTACTGCTACAGTACTCAACACTAATCGGACTGAGTAACTCGGACTCGGCCCAAGTAATCGGCTCGGGCCAGGGCTGGCTACTCGGTCCGAGTTGCACAATCTAACACTAGTTAAGTCCATATGATCCTTGGGATTCCTTTTTAGCATTCAAAAATTTTCCAAGCTGTCGAGAAAGATGACATTGAATAACAGGTTGACCCGATTTTTATTCTGAAGGAAACGTTTATTATCTTAAACAAGTTGATTGTACCATTCGTCATTGCATTATTGATCTGCTGACAACACAATATTGAACGAAATCACATTGCTTGCTAGTATGTTGAGGAGTGTCCTCTCCACGAGAGAGAGAGATTAACAGGCAGAAGTAAAAGTTTTTATTATAGAATAAAAAACCCAGACACAATGTGAAATATTGGACAATAGATGAAAAAATAGATACAATGACATGTCATGACCAAATGGGTGTGACTCTTTCTGCAATTGATCACAGAACTTGAGTATATTTGAACACACAATCATAAAGCCTCCCCCCAAGAAACTCAGCCACCTCAGGGTGCTTCACCTGTTGAAACAAAGGTTTCATGATCACATGATCTTAGTTTTTGAGAGAACAAACCATTCCAATTGTGAATAATTTGTGTGTGTGAGAGAGAGATCAAATCATTTCAATGTGAATAATTAGAGAGTGAATAACTCATCCCTCTGTATGTGTGTGTGCGCGTGAGAGAGAGATGAAACCATTCCATTGTGAATAATATAATATGAGAGAGAACAAACCATTCCAATGTTGAGTGAATCACATCTGAATTGGGCGTAGAGATTAGTCTCTATTCCACGGCCCTGCCAAAATATATATAACCACAACAAATTATTTTTTCATTAACTCCATTTCAATTAATTAACAAATGCATTATTTGGAAAGAGAAAATATATGTACCATTCCCTCCAAAATGACAAGATCTGCATCATTTGCAAGGTGGGACAGTTTCGGAGACACCATGGAGAGATCAATGACCTGCAAACAAGATTGGAAAAATTGTTAATTCTTTTAAATTAATGCTACAACTGGCAGAAATTAGAAAGGTAATGGACGTGTGGAATTTTCTCTTCATTAAATATTCATCATATTTTCAAGGGAAATTTTTTAAAATACACCAATAATTTAACAATTTATCCTTTTCAAACTATTCCAACTCATGTTTGTGTGTATTTTATTTAGAAAATAAATAAAAAAATATGGGTAAAATATTGAATAGTTGATCTCTTGTATGTATTTTGATAAATCTCCCTATTTTCAAAAACCAACTGATAAACAGGCGTTATTCTTAACAACAATGGACAGAGAAAAAATTGACATGATTAAAATATGTTATAATGGACATGCATGTTTGTTTTTATTTTTTTATTTTTTCTCGAATTTCATAAGTAGGTGTAAGCGAAAAGACATGCATATCAAATTTTTAAATATTTATTTTTAGCATGTGCATTACTTGTACGCGAACTTCTTCTTTCTTTTAAGTGTTAACATAGGACCTAGTGGGAGTAGAACTCATGACATCAAGTTGTAGCACTCTCCATCTACCGGTGCCTTGAGCCCATTTCCACACGAATATAATGGTTGGTGTGTGTTGAGAGAGGAGAGAATGCTTAGTTCGTGTGCGTGTAAGTGTTTGTGTGCGTGAGAAAAGGCATTTTCTTCATGCAAAAATCATAGAAGCATTTTCCAACTGGAGTATAAGTATAGGCATGATCTTACCGGCAAATCGTTACCAGAATTTACTATTGAAAGCCCTGATGCATCCACCCCAAATATCTTCCCATTTTCATCCTTCAACTGATAAAAGTAGTTACCATGAAGCATTAGTATCAAATTTAATTTGCATGAATACCTTTAAAAAGTTAAAAAAGTATTACTCCACACCGAACATAGCACATAATTTGAAGGTAGTATATCTGGCTCTTTATTTTCATATGATAGAAATATAGATAGATAGATTGGCTTGTATTCTATGCTTTCACGGGAGCAAATGTTACACTTGCTCTCATTTGAGAAATTTTATTTTGGACTTTGTGATCAAACTATAACATATCCTCCTGATTTCAATCTAACGGTCAATGATGACCTAAACTTACTACTAACTAGGGTTTTGCCCAAGAAAGCAAATGTAACATTATCTCCCATAGAACCATATAATACTACCAGAAAGTTGGGGCTACTAGCATACCCCAAAGAAAAAAAACTACAAATGGATGACTTTGAAAAAGAAAATGATTGTAGCTTCATTAGAGTCTAGATACTATGGTGCTTGTTTGTTTGGAAAGGGTCACTAATCGCTTATCTCAAACCATCCAATGTGAAGCTTTAACACTCAATGGGAACAACAACCACCCGCTGTGGACATCGAAGGGTCTGAGGAGTTATTAGGATTCTACTTCCAGACAAATAGGTAGTATAGAGTTCTTTCACAATTTATAATGTTCATGGGGAGAAGTATTTGACCCCATTCTTTCTGCAAGGGCTGAACTCTAGTATATCATGAAGCTCATGTCACCTTGGATATAATCTCAATCAGTTCTGGATAAGTGATATCATTGATGGATGGTAAATCATTAGCAGCAATAACCACCTGCAATAATTAACCAGGATTGTAAGAGAAAGAAGAACATAATGTCTCACAAAGATGCCATGCTCTTAAAAATTAAAGGAAGATTGGGTCTTCTTGAATTCTCAAAAGAAGAGCTTTGGAGAAAGTTTATCACACATATACCAACCAAGTTTTCCAGAATCCAGATTTTAAAATTTCTTAAATGAAAGAGGTTTAATTGTTTTCAATCTAAAACCCACAAAAAAAAAAAAAATGATTCCTGATCTACAATTTCCGGTGAACATTAATTCTTGTTAACGACAACATCTTGTACTTGCCTTAAGTGATCAGTTGAGTAAAAGCAACAAGGAAAGGATGAAATGAATTCAAATTCCAGTTTTATAACTGATCTCTCATACAAACCAGATACAGAATGTAATTTTCATAATCCACTTAAAAGGGATGTAGAAAAACAAGGAACGATATCACCAAATGTAAGGAATCATGCTTTTAGCAACAAATAGAAAAATTCAGAAGTGTCTTAGAGGTAAAACTCAATTTTCACAGAAACTCAAAAATTCCTGATAAGAATATAAGTAGCTGTATCTCAAAGAATGATCTTATATGAAACTAAAACCAGAGTCCAGAGATCTCAGGCCAACCTGACAGTTTACTCCATATATCTTTTTCTATGTTTGGTCATTATATATAATAGATCTCATAAAAAATCTATGAGATTAATACACAGAATCATCATAATACCGATGTTGTAATGATGGTTTTTAGACTCTCCAAATGAGCTAGGATTGAAATCAAGCTAGATAATTGCATATCTCCACACCTCTTCGGCCCCAGAACAGGGCTCCTCTTTGGCCCCAGAACAGGGTAATTCATGCCTGACCATAGATCTCAACTTGCACATCAAATCATCTACTTCCCCTCCCCTAAACTTCTGTGTAATCTGAACTTCGCTTCGAACTGTAAGTTTACAACCAAATGTACTCTTCAATTACTAGCCTCTTAGTCTACAAAATTTACATGTTTTACTCCTCCATGCCCCAAAAGATATTATTCACCAATTTATTTTCTTAAAAAAGAAAAATGAACATCAAGAAAGATAAAATATAACCACGATGCTGCACCTCCAAAGAAAATGAACGTGCTCCATCAGGGGGCCTGAAGTCCAAAAATAATTTGCTCTACCAAAGAATCAAGATGCATGTAACGTTTCATCCTTCTCCATATTTGTATTAAGAATTTTTAGTACATTTCATTTACTTTATATTGTTAGTTCACAATAATTTCGCCTTTGAACCAAAACTCAAATATATTGCTTCTCAGAGGATTAAGATGGTTACTCAAAGCGGAACCCTGGCATTTGAGAGCAAGAAAGGGAAGTTAAGTACCATCGGTTGTTAGAGGCATGTGTCTAATTCCTAAAGTTTATTTGTTTTATCCAAAATTATTCCAATGCTTTCCTCTTCCACCAAAATGTATGAATCAATGGTTTAAAAAGCGGATCGGTGGCCCGGATCAGGCAACTCAAAAATCGATCCGGATTGGCAAATCGGCGATCCGGATCGGGAATCGGTCGGATTTAAGCTTCAAAAAAATCCGAAAAAATTATTAAAATTCATTATAAATATTGTTTTTTAGGAATCCAATAAGAAATGAGGATACTTCATTATTAACTTTCATTGTTTTCATCAATTTATGAATATTGAGATATTCTTTCCCTGTATGAACTTATGTTGACCATTAAATTTACATCACACAAAATAAATCATAGAATTATCATGGATTAAGTATATAATCATATATGGACAACAATAAAGAGTTGACTAAATCGATGAAAAATTGGCCACTAAAATCTCAAATTGGCGGAAAACCCTAATCCGCTAAAAAAACCCAAATTATTACAACCTAACTAACTATAATATTATATACCAACAATATTTTATAACTATTTTATTATATAAATAATAACAAATCCAAAATATTTTATAATATCATCTAATTTAAAATGTATTATTGACAACTGTAAGAAAAATAGTACACTATATGATTTATAATGCAAAAATTAATAAATAAAATAAAAGATTTGGTTATCAATGTAGAAATTATTAGAATGCATACCAATTTTCTTTAATTTTTTAGGTTTTTAGAATAAATTAGTGGAAGAGATTGTTAGTAAAAAGAGAGAGATTTCAAATGGCCTCATTGTATGAATCTTATCTTGAAATTAATATTACTAAATTTATGTTAAAGACCATCATGTTATAAAAATAAAAAATATAATTATCCCATTTATTCCTAGGTTGTATTAAGAAATACTTTTTATTTTTTTGACAAGAAATACTTATTGTGTTATCTTTTAATTGTTTTTAACAAGAAAAATATGATACTTGTTGATTATCTTTCTTTTTTTTTTGACAAAAGAAGAAGATGTTGTACTACATTGTTTTTTGCTTGTTGTATTACTTTTTATTTTTTTTATCCTATGAGCTAGTACTAATTTTTTAATCCTAATTAACTAATTAATCAATTATTACTCATATAATGAAATAATACCATGACATAGTAGCTTAATAGAGTTTTTATGTTTTTTTGGTAAGTAAATTTAAATTTTATTGGTGAAAGATAGGGGTGATGAGCACCTAATTATTATTTTTAATAAATTTTTTCTTTTTTTAGCATCAAATTTGATTGCCACAATCGGACATACAACTTTCTTATTCATGACGGGCATACACCGTCGTGCGTACACCATCGCGTGTACACTATCTCGGTGCTTTAACCCAAGCTAATAACATTTGCAAGCGATTTTTCAACTCACAGGTATATGCCACATCGAAGGGATGTGAGAAGTGTGAGTACTATAAAAAACCCAACGAGCTACTTCACAGTATGCTCTCTTGGCCATGTGAAGCTTGAGACTTTAAGCTAGGGTCAAGTGAAGTGCAAGGTGTCAATCACGTGGGGGGGGTGAAAAGTGGAGCGCAAGGTGTCACGCGTGGGGGGAGGGTAAGTGGAGAGGGAGTGCAAGGTGGCAAAACAATCATGTGGCGAGGGGGGGGTAAAGTGGTATAAATCACATTTCAAAACAACCAGGGTGGGTTCATAAAAAAAAAACCGGATTGAAAAATAAAAAAATAAGAACCGCCCGGTTTTACCGATACTGTATTTGGATCGGTTATAACCGATATCCGATCCGGATAGCCAGATTCCAAATCGGATTGGCAATTTTTGAAACACTGGTATGAATTATTTTTCGAACTAGCCAAAGCTCCAATACCTTTCCCTATCAGTTAGCAAATTTAAGTGAAATCACCATTTTACATGTGCATAGTGAGAATGTGAGAACCATTCAACTAGAAAATCTTACACAAGTGACTATTAATTATACAGTTACACATAAAATAATAGAAATTAGAAACATGCACATAGTGAAGAGGAGATGGTGGACAACTGAACATACATAAATAGAACTACAAGAGGTATTTTATGCCTCTTATTTTCCCTATAATTGTCGGATATATGGAACTTAATAAATGTTTTCTTTATTTAGCGCAACAGACCAACAGATATTCGATCAGGGAGAAGAGCAAAACCTGTGTACCACGTCGAAGCAGCTCTCTAGCGAAGGGTAACATCCCAAGAATAACATCTGCACCCGAGTTATCGACAAATATGACAGCCTGCCATTGCAGAACCAAGTGAAAAAATTAGAGCAAGGAGAGAAAAACTTACTACTGAACTCTAAAGATGGTATCAGTCTTGTAAATAAAGAGAAACGCAACATTTTGGGAAGACCATAAACATAGAAAACCAAGTAGGATGAATTAACAAGTTGAAAGCATCAACATATAACAATTAACAGTGACAGTTGTAAGTTGTGTTATTCATATATGTGCCCAAAGAAGCTGAAGGTAATGTTTTATGGAAAATTATGAATGACCCTTATAGTTTATCAGCTTCGGCATGCAAATCTTCCTATATGTAAAAATTATTCTTTCTTGTCTTATTAATTTTCCAAAACTGAGCAAGATTCCCAAAATACAAAGGGGCAATTGATGAAGATAAAAAAAATTGAAATACCTTGAGGTCCAATACAAAAAAGAAAATGACATGAGTGCATAAAAAATGAGAGAATCAAGTACACACAAAACAAAACACAACACTGTACTTCCTACATGATCACCTTTGCAAGATTCAAAGATTACTCTTAGAGAGGCTGCCAAAAGATGAGTCACTACAGAGTAGTACAATAACCAGACATGCAATTCTTAAAAACCAATTAATCATATATATCCAGAATCATTCAATTGAAATTCTTATTGCAGGCTTGAGCAAAAGTAATTCAAGTATAACAGAAGATGAAAGAGAGAGGGAACAGTTGATACTAGCCTTCTTCCATGATTTTGTACTCCATTTTGACTTGAAAATATCTAAATCATCAATAACCCAAGGTCGAGCCACTAGATTTTCACAACTTGCTCTGAATGACATTCCATCTCTTGCAAAGGCCTCCGCTATCTTCAAGAAACACCAAGGACATGGAAACCAGTGAATGGATGCTTCAAATCAAATTAGTACTTGCTTAAAAACTAACAATACAAAAGAAAACCAAAAAGTATAAAATAAACTGAAAAAGAGTTATCACCATGATGCAGCTTATAGAACCACAACAAGACCACATTTTCCGCAACAATGAACACAAGGACTTAAATGGAAACATAAAGGTTTGCAAAGATGCAAAGGAACTTTAAATTATATTGAACAACATTCATATTTGGATGGTATTTGATATTTTTATGTACCATTAACATATAATTGCCTCTGTCAAGGAAGCTCCAGTGATTTTTTATTTATTTTTCAGTGGGAATAAGATGCATTTATTTTATTAATCGAACTCAAGTCCATCAAACTCCTGCATTACAAGCACACCATATAACTTGACGCCTCCTTATCGACAAAAAACATATATCATATAATGCCACGAATAACTGTAAGTCTGTAACTGAACTTGTGATGTTACCTGGGCACATCCCAAATCAAAAATGTTCCCAGCAAAGACTCCCCTAATCAAGCTTTCCACTCTCTTGCTTGCATCTTCAATGGAATCATGAAGCTGAACCACCTCATTGAATAGTGTTAAAGCATTGGCATTTTCCTCGACCTTGTAGAAACGAAAGCATTCAATCTCATCGAATAGCAATAAGAGAAGAAAGAAACTAAACCAACAAATAAATAGAGAACTAAAATCTAATAAAGTTAAATTTTACCTTAACTTTCTTGTATATGTCCCTGAAACCTACGTCTCTTAAGGCTTGTTCACGAAGTCTACTTAAAAGCTAGAATTACACAGAAAAAAGGAAAAGGTCAAACTGAAGTAGACAAATTGACAAAAAAATATGATTTCTAAGGAAGCAAATAGAGCTCACTTACAATGCAATCTAGTGGCACACCATGACTTTGAGGATCTGCCTTCAAGTCCTCAAGAACTTTTGTATACCTTTGATGCCATTTAAAACTAGTAGTTAGATCATCTGAAATTATGTTGGGGATAACTAACATACCCCAGAGGTATTTCAAAATATAATTTCAGATTAAATAAGGAATTATCAGATCAAATTGCAGTGTAACTGCCAATAGTGACAACTTAAAACATAATTTCAATGAGTTGTTGACGATTACAATGCTGCGCCCCAAATTTGATCCCCACAGCTCAAATACCCAGAGGAAGAAAAACTTTATTTATCATTTATTTATTCACTATTGATCCAAGCAGCATGTTGATGATACTATAAGCCGGTGAAAGAAACTTTAAAGGAAACACCTCTTTTTTTTGGCAAAAACATCATCTAAAAGTACCCAGCCTTCGAAAGTGTAATGAGGTAATTGAAATTCACTGGTGCCACCACCAAAATACCACCGGGCACACCTTGGCGTCTCTGAGAGAGGGAGAGAAAGAGATCATTGAAGTGGTTATCCCTCGAGCTCAAGACCAAATGGTGTACCACATAAACACTTGTAAGCCTAAGAAAATATTTAAGAAGTACTTAGAGCTGTCGGTGTTCTCCTTTGTGTCTTCAACCACAGAGGAATGAGAGTCATCAAACATATAAAAAGTTCTATCTCTTGAGCTCAAGACATACATGTTACTCCCTAAGACACTTGTAAGACTAGGCCAATATTTAAAATGTGGTGCCTTGATCTTTCAAAACTCAGTATTCTTATTGACATTAAGTAATTCAGCTAATGAAAGCAAGGTGCTGATGAACAACATGCAAGGAAAAAAAATGGTATAATCCAATGGACTACGAAAAATCATATTGCATAGGGGTCATCATTGTACAATCACCAAACAATGAAATGATAACAAAGGAGAGGGAGTGGGACATACGAGAACAGAACGTGATCCCAATGGTGGATTCCACTCTCCATCAGTGTCCATCATTTCATCATACCATAGTTAGGATTATGACTTAATAACTAAGATAGACATAATACCTCTTGGCGAATTTCTCAGCTTTTGCATGAGCTTCAGGAACCGTATCATCACTCTCTGCCTGTTTCCTGTATAGTTTATTGGGACCATGTTTCTTGTGAGCAATTATCGAAAAGGAAAATATAACATGATCCATATAGCCATTGTAGCTACATGACCATGTGCTCAAACATCTCAGATGGTAATGGATGAAGCGAGGAAAAATTAATGACATTTTTCGTGGGACTGGATCATTATATCACCTACCAACATGTGGTTTATGGATTCTTCTATATGGGTGTTGTACACCTATCAACACACTCATCATCAACATCATCATCATTATAGCCTTTTCCCAATTACCTTTCGACATACCCAACATTACTGATTCTTGTACATGATTCTTGTTTATTAACCACAAAGTACATTATTTTACAGACTTGATCTTCCTTTTTTGTTTTGAGTAGCCATGTAAATTCGAAGACATCTATGGAACTTTAGAATATCTATAGATTCAGCTAATTAAGGTATAATTAATTATTTCTTGCTACCCATTATGTAATGGAATATTAGTATAATGAGGTTAGATTTCTTTCTCTTTGTAATATAGTTATGCGATTCTATACAATGAGACAGTTTACCTTTTATACAAAGAGGTCACAATCAAATTTGAAAGTTTGAGTGTATCATGCAGTTCAAGAAAATTTCTTTTGAACTTTGAGCTTTGTCAATAGAATAAATAAAACTGTCTCATTTCACATCCAACGGTCCAACGGTCAAGAGTAATTGTGATTATCTTGTACGAAAGGTACATAGACTGATTGTATACTTTTCCTAAGTTATATCGCCCATTTTTCTTTTTATCTTAGGCATATACTCATGTTGGACACATGTACCCGTATCCATAGAACATAGCCACCGATATATAGCCATGTCCGACTGACACACGTAACCGTGTCCATTCAACATAGCCACTGAGGTTGTATAACCTCGTGGCCATGATGTTATTATGACCATATAGATCATGTTATACTATAACATGAACAAATGGAGAGATGACTATATGGATCATGTTATACTATAGCATGAACAAATGGAGAGAGGGAGAGAGAGAGAGAGAGAGAGAGAGAGAGAGAGATGAAAATTGAAGTTAACCTGAAAGAAGGGATAGATTTTTGGAAGAGGTCGATCCATGCGAGCTCCGTTGGTGTGGGCTCGTGAGGAGGATCGAAAGGGAGCCTGTACGGGATGGTGCCGGGCCTGTACGTGCTTTCGATTGGGGTTTTAAGCAAAGGGAAAGCCACTGCTGTGCCAGAACTGTCCCTTCTCTCTCTAACTCTCTCTCTCTCTAGTCCTCTCTCAAGCAGTTCTTGAAAGCAGCCCTGCAACGAATTCAGAGAAATTACTTTAGTACCAACAATTTTCTTCTCCTTTCTTATTTGAAAAGAGGATAAATAGAGAACTTGAGATCTCCATTTCTAACCGAATGGGAAAATCCACAAAACAGAAATACTACTTTTTGTTAATTGGAAAAGGGCAAAAAAAACCATAAAAAGACAAAAAACAACGGATAATAACTACCCAAAAATGGAGAAAATGTGGGGGAACCATTTGAAATTTATTAGATAATTTCTTAAAATGTTTCTAAATAAAAGCCATTATTTCCATTGTTTGAGAATAATTTTGAATTTTGTCCTTCAGCCAATAAATTACTGTTAAACAAAAGCCATTTTTGCTTCAATTATTTGAAGCAACTCATCCAGAAATGCACCTGTAAAATACTTTGGAGGGGTGAATTCCAATTATACCCCTCAACAAAAACTTATGCCATGAGAAGTTTTTTTTGGTAAAAACTGGTAATTTTTTCTTAACATGTTTGGACATGGTGGGAACGCTCTTTGAAATTAATATTTGGACACATGGTGTCTAAGTAGATGGAAACCCGAAAGATTGCTAGTCTCAACGACCAGGTTTTGATATCGACACCCACATTAAAGGGGTGTAATTGGGGCGGGTCAGGCTCGACTCGGCTCACTTGGAACATGATCGAGTCTAGGTCATTGGACTTAGGCATGGACCTAACTAGATAATAGATACTGAATTTTGTTTAGATATTTATTAAGGAAATATATCAAAATATTTATGAGAGATGAACTATTTAATATTTTATCGATATTTTTTTATTTAATTTCTAAATGCCCATCAAAATACATGAGTTTCAATAATTGTAAAAGGGCAAAATGTTAAATAAGTAATCTCCTATGGGTATTTTGATAAAATTTTCATTTTATAATATATAAATATATATTATAGGGGATGCATACGATACATATATAAATATTGGGTTGGGTCAGTTGCATTGACCTCGATTCAACACAGTTAGGTTCAGGTTAAATGAACTCGGATCCAGACCCGACCAGACATATGTTAAGCCTGTCAAATGAACTCAGACCCAGACCTAGACCCGACCCCCCTCCAGTTCTAATATCCAGATCCCAATCCCAGTTCAGGTCGACTCATTGGGTCAACGGGTCGACCCGACCTGACCCTTAGAGAGGGCGTAAAAAAGGACGCCAACTTTGCTTAGGGTAGGGTTTAGGTGCATCTTACAGCTCAACTCTTTTAGTGAATCCAACCTTTCAAAATCTAACCGCGAGTCAGGTTTCATTGCCAATTTTTATTGACTCAAACTACTAATAAATTATGAATGTGAAATAAAAAATTGAACACACAGTAAGGTCAATGCAGGTTGAAGAATGTCACAATCAACTCGACGGCAGCTCTTGGTGTATCATTGACCGTGCTCAATGTCCGAAAAAATTTCTCAAACTTCATGCGGAAAAATGTAATTTCATATCGGACGGATTGTGACCTCGATAAATATTAATATAATACACAATGCACAACAAAAAAAATTGAATTTTGAGCCTACAGGTGGGCCATTTTACCTTTTTTTAAAAGGAAAATTCCTTTCAATTCTTCAAAGATCGTTGATATGCCCCGTTTTTTAAGCTTGAAGTTCATAGATTTCAACCAACGGATATGCAGTGATTTCATATGCATTTTTGAGCCATAAACCCATGATGATAAGGCATATGCATGAGTCGGCAAATGCACCAGAAAATTTCCCCTTTGATTTTCTGATGACTATAATGGGCACTTATGGTGAACCAATTATTCTAATTGTACATTTAGACTTGCAGAGAGAGCAAATTGTACATTTTCTCCCATAGGTGAAAAGACCTAGTTAGGAGGATTTTTAAAATTATCAAATGCGCTTTTTAAAATTCCCTAGATGACTAATTTCAAAAAAGAATAGAAAATGATTTTAAGCTTTTATACACCTAGATCCGATTGCCCAAGAGTTGAACGACATATGTTCAATCCTAGGGCACAAATTTTTACAAACACTTCCAAAGTTCGCAATCATTGGGAGCTTGCAGGTCCAACCCAAAATCTCAGGTCCTAAATGCTCAGCTGGAGTTTTATGTCCAGTTTTACTCCTGCATGAGCTTATAATCTTTTCATATTGCAATATTTTCTTGAGAAAACAATACTCTCCTCCATCTCCTAAATTTATTAGCGATATAGAACCCCATGAAATCCTCTAATTTTATTTTATTTTATTTTATTTTACTTTTTTTTTTTCGGGGTAATTCAATGATCGGAATCGAACTTGAGATGTAGCGTAGCATAGCTAAAACCCAACCTAATGAAATCCTCTAATTTTTTTTTATTTTTTTATTTTTTAAAAGATATTTGAGTGATAGGAATCGAACTTGAGATGTACTATAGCTAAAATCAACTGCCAACTATTTATGCCCAAGCTTTTGTTGGCTAAATAAACCCCCTACTTTTTATTTCTTTTCTTTTTTTTGTGGATAATTTAATGAGTAAAACAGGGCCTGTTTTTTCAAATAATTTCGAAGTTATTTATTTTGAAAATGCTAATAGGGTGGTGTGAGTAAAAATAAAACCACAATGTGGTGCCTAGAATGTAGGGATGCTACCACCATGACCCCAGCCCTTTCCCAACCCCCCTCTTGATCTATGAAACCCTATTCAATGTGAACTTAACTTAAAAATTTATTTATTAGCCAATTCTTTCTCTCTTACCTCACTTCTTTCTCTCTAGCAAGAGAGAGCAGAGAAAGGGTGGCCTGTTGGGAAGTGAGAAATAGTAAAGTAAGAGAGAGGTTAAATAAGAAGTGTGTTTCTACGTTCAGATGGGCTGAGTTGAATTTTATGGATTTATCAAGGTCTAAGTTTTAATAAGGGTGGCAACAGGACTCGACTTGGTGTAACTTAGACCTGGTTGGGTTTTAAATCATTTGGATAGGTAGTCAGGTCAGGTCTAGAAATAAAATAAATAAATAAATAAAATAATTATATAGTTTATAATATTTAGTTGATATCTATACTTATATACCCCCGTGGGAGCGGATCGAGCTATCACTAACCTAGACACAACTTGACCCGACTTAATAGGATCCAAGCCAAACCTAATCCAAGATCCACCATGTATTGAGTCAAGGTCAAGTAGACCCCGACTCGGCTGCCAGGTCCAACGCCCGGACCCCAACCCGGAGTTGACTTGACCCGATGGCCAACCCTAACTTTCAAGGAGAAAAAAAAGGAGGAATGGCGGTATTTGAGCAATAAGGTAAGTTTCACGGGGATTGAGTAGAACCGACGAGGATTCATTGGCCAGTAAAGTTGGGACGGCGGACTCTTATTTTTGCGGTCTTCCAAAAGCTGGCCTGCAACGTCATCGAGCACTCTTAAGTTGGTGTTTGACCGACGGGTACTTGCGGGTCCACAGAAGCAATTAGTTTTTGAACAGTCCGAGGACCGAGGCGGTGGGAGAGAGTGATTAGAGATATTTTAAAATACTTATTAATTCTTAAGAGGATGGGGGCCCAAATCCCCTTTCACCTTTCTTTTTTGGAAATGGGTTGAGGTCGTATCAGTAGCACCTGCACGCCCTAATCACCATGTTCTGATTTTTATTCTCACCGCTACCACAATTCCACTTACACTTTCAAAAATGAAAATATAGGCAGGGGCCTATCTTCTCCATTAAATTACAAAAAAACACAGCAACATTAACCCTCAGGTTTTTATTGAGTGCCCCAATGTGTCTTCTCTCCCCCTCTTTCTCAACAGCACCTTAGGTTTCCAAGACGATGCTCTCTCTCTCTCTCACACCTCTCTCTCTCTCCAACACCTCATGTTTAGGGGTGACCAGGCCCGCAAAACCTGTGCGTCGATCAGAACCATTTTTGGGTCAAGGTGTTAGACTATCGAGTCATGTCCTGCTCAGACTTAGGTCCCTACTGGATCAGACGAGGGCAGGGTTTGGGATCAACCCAACCCGACCTGGCTTGGTATATATAACTATAAAATATAAATATATAACATATATATTACAAAATCTATTGGAAAAAGTTTATATAGAGTCGAGGCTCTAAACAATCAAATTTGAGCCTACTTCAAAAATTCCACTAGAAGAGATTGTTTTCATGTCCAAATATCCTCAAATTGATCATCTTGATGACATCAAGATGCATAGACTTGAGAAAAAAATGGATTTCAAGTTTTGGAAATAGTGTGTTTTGTAACGCATTTTTAAACCATCAATTTTCAAGATTTTCAAGCTTTCATAGATATGTTGATCTACACTATTTTTACAGCTTTGAACTTTATAAATAAATATAAAAATATATTTTAAAGCTATCACAAAGATTTTCAATAGTGAAACGACATTTCTCGATACTATTTGAAGGTAGGATTTAATTTGATTTTTTAGAGCCTAGGCTCTATACAAACTGCAACCAAATCTATAAAAGTATATTTTTTACTTTTTATTTCTAGATCTGGACCTGATCTGACTTAGTGGGTCTGGTTAGGATCCAAATGATTTGGACCTCACTTGTGTCTGGGTCCATGTTATACTACGTAGGTTTCTCTCTTTCTCTCTCTCTCAATCTTCCTAGGACTCAATCTTCCTAAGAAATGGAAACCATCAATAACTTGAGTGGGAGACATGGCACACAAAAGCCAAGTTTTATGTGAGACTAAAAACCTTACCGGTGAAAACCGTTTGCAAAGTGTCCGATTTTGAGGACTCACACAAAAAAGTGTCCGATTATGAATAGCTAGCAATCGCCTCATGATAATAAATTTTGGGCGCTTACATCATGCTCCCGCGTGAGCATCTACTTTGAATTTACTCGCTCAATTAAAAGACTTACTTGAGAAAGAGTTTTTTCGATCCAAAATTTTGGGAACAACTTTAAAAAAAAAAAAAATTAAATTTTAATTTTTTTTTTTCAAAAAATGGATTGTCAAACTACATTTTTCTAACACAAAAATGGTTAAATTTGGAAATTTCTCTTAGGGGTTGAAGAGGTTACATCCCCGAGAGAGTAAATGGATAGCATGCTCCCACATGACAACGAATTTGGTACTGATGTAATATCGGCAGGAGTAAACAAAATAAGCAGTGCCCAAAAACTTTATAAAAGGGTATAGGAAAAGGCAAACTGAGGGTTAGTAAGAACAATGAGTATTAATAAAACAAGATTTAATTTGTTTAAAAGGTGAGTGCTCATCTTCAAAAAATAAGATCTAAATGCTGAAACATTGAACCGCCTTAAACTTTCAAAAGGAGATCTAAACGCTGTCTCATGATTAAAAAATCAGACCAAAGTCGAATTTATCAAAATAATAAAAAAATTTCAAAGGGGGCGAGTAATATCAACCCATTTGAGGCCCATTTCGTTATAAGGGTTTAAAAAATGGTCGGAAGTAAGTTTCCCAAAACAGAATCATTTCGAAAAAAAAAAGAATTTTCAACATAATATTCTCTCTCCTATCTCAAAATACTGCTAAATGGTTTCACTACATTCTCTCTTCCTTCTCACCTGGTCAGCAAAGAAAACCCTTTTCTCCCCTTTGGCATGAACGCATGAGTTACACGTTATATGGACTGGACCATTAGCCAAGCCTTCAAGCACTATGCTCTCAAAAACCATCTCTTTGTGGTGATCATGGGTCACCAACACCGCGCCCACTGGCCCAAAAGTGGGCTTCACCTTGAACTCACCCTCATAAGACACCATCTTACCTTTCCCAGCTCTCCTGTGCACGTAACCCCTTATAGTCTCCTTCTCTATTCCGGTGCCTGAAATCCACTTGCTAGAATGATTTTCTAGAGAGAGAGACTGTAAGTAGAGTATTAGAGAGAGAGAGACTTACTGGGGTTGAACTCTGCACTAAGAATCTCCAGCCTCAAGGATTTTCCCAAGACATCCAAGAAAATATCATCCAAGTCTTGAACCGTTGATTTCACTGTAACCCTTGCCTTGATGGTGGTCACCTTCTCTTCTCTCTTTTCGGTGGTCGTCGGAATTTCCTTCAAAACGGCGAAAACTTTGCCGGATTCGATTTTCCTGCAAGATTCAGGCTGAGTCACCCGCCTGTTGACCCGAGCCAATGAGCCATGGTTTGTCTTCAAAGCCGGCTTGGGAACCACCAATATGGCTTGGCTTGAGCTAGATTGGAGTTGTGGTTTCATCATCTTTACCCAAGACTATAAAAAGTAACAGAAAATAAAAGAAAAAAAATGAATAAAATAAGATCAGATGTTGAGCAAGTACAAAGCACCTCAAACACGCGAGAAAGAATATACATTAAAAACTCTCTCGCTTAGAAAGCATAAGAATCTAAAGCAAATATAGTATAAACCCAACAACCCAAATAGACCTTTACCTAAATAAATAGAAACCTTTGTTTAAATAAAAAAAGAAAATTTATGCGGGTTTTAAAATTTGTACATATGTGTACCTCATCTAGACATGATAAATAAATATACAAACAATATGTACAGAAAATATTGCACAAAATAAATTCACAAATTTCCGCATCTTCCACTTCAATCTAAGCCATTGAACTTATGCTACGGTATAAGCTCTTAACCTTACACTTTGTCCAAAATGAATAAAGAGTAGCAAGAAATTATGGGAAAGTTTGTGAAGTGCAAGCATAAAAGCAAAGAAAAAAGGGAGAGAAATAAAAGTTAAGATTTAAAAGGAAAGGGACTAAGAAGGGGAGTTAGAGAAGAGATGAGGAAACTTAACAAGGCAAGGTGGTTTTTGCTAGTGTAGGCACGTAGGGTGGGCTGTTCCTCTTGCAAGCTTCGAGATCGTGCATATTTATAGCCAGAATAGATATGCCAAAAGATTTTGTACTCTCTGCAGAACCATAGTATCTATTTACTCCTTGGGGTAAAACTCAATATATGAGTAATTTTAGTATCTCAATTATTTGGATGTAACCTTTTCAATCCACAGAGTAACATCCCTAAAATAAAAATAAAAATTGAATAAAAATAATTCGTCAAGACCGAATAAAAATTGAAAGGGCAAGATCTAAGTGTTTAACAAAACTAAAAATCTACCCTTTCTTTTGCTTTTTGAAAATAATTATCTAATAGTTTTTAGGTGGTTCCCCAAATTTCCTACCCAGGAAATCCTCCTATGTGTCTTTTAAATACGCGAGTAGATACACACTATGCTCCTATGGGAGCATAATATTTCTGCTAAAAAAAAGAGAAAAAAGGGGGCAAGTTAAGTTAGAGTGTGAGATCATATTTGAATGCCACGTGTAGCTTCTTATGTAAAGAAAGTGATCAATAATTCAAAGTTTTATTTTTATTATCACGTGGAATAAGTGTATTGGTCTTAATAAATAAATGTCACATTATAGGGGAAATAGTCTTGTTTATATACGAATCTGACCATGGAGTATCAATAAAGGAATCTAATCATGTGAGGTTTACACATTAATTTATCCAGCTTGCTAAAAAAAAAAAAAGCCTGTCTATACTCCTACAGGATCATTTTGTATGCGTACTCCTTATCATCATCATCAAGCTCTTTTTTTAATTATTTATGATCAACCTACTCATCATCATCATCAAAGCTTTTTTTTAATTATTTAAGATCAGTTACTTTGTACGCCTACTGCTTTACGGTATTTTTTATTTATTTATTTTTACAATGTTATAAACTTTTATTGAAATTGTGCGGAAGCATGATCTAAGTATAAAGCGGTAATTAGTTCACTAGAGATCGTCATAGACGCCCATTTTGGCGAGGTTATCTATATATGTGGGAGAAAGAGAATTCTATATATGTGGGAGAAAGAGAATTGAAGAGCAAAGATCAAAGATTTTCAGCCCCCCAACTATGGAGGGACCATGATTTTATTTTTTTCGGCACATGCATAGATAATGCGAGTTGAGGAGGTTATTTCACCATATTTAGTGAATCCAAGAGCTCTCCTACATAGGTTTTTGGCCCGGGGAGTTAATAGAGATATGCTCCAGCGGGACCATATAAACATCTATTGATCTTCCAAATGTTTCTGCGGGTGATCTGTAGGGCACTGAAATCTTAGCCAATCCAACGTTAACACATATTTACAAAGAATCAGATTTCGACTTTGTGGTTTCACCGAATCAAATTTTAACAAATTAATAGTTCTTTAAAAAGTATAGCGTTATCCCTCTATATTTTAATATTTTTTACCATTTTTACAAATTGTTTTCGTTTATTTAAGCCCCTCTGACTGAAAGAAAAAAGAACCCTACTCTTGGGATTGACACAAGGAAAACTAACGGTTCAAATGTCTTTTTACTAGTATTATTATTTTTTATTTTTAAAATTTACTAATATATTTATATCCATGATATCCATGTTAGAGGTTACATGTCTTTCAAAACTGTCTTAAATTCATCTCAAAAATTGATTTACCAAGAGGCCAGCATTTCTATATATGCGGGCTTGGCCGCATAAAAACAGGGTCCTTAGCTTAAAAGGTTTATTAGTTTCCTCTTTGTATAGAACCTAGGCTCTAAACAATCAAATTAGAGCCTACCTTCAAATAGTATTGAGAAATGTAGTTTCAATACTGGAAATCTTTTTGATAGCCTTAAAACATATTTTCATCTTTATTTATAAAATTTAAAGCTTAAAAAATAGTGAAGATCAAGAGATCTATGAAAACTTGAAAATCTTGAAAATTGACGGTCCAAAAATACTTTAAAAATACATTATTTCCAAAACTTGAAATCCATTTTTTTATCATGTACATGCATCTTGATGTCGAAATGATCAATTTGAGGATATTTGAGCATCAAAACAACAGCTTCTAATGAAATTTTTGAGATAGGCTCTGATTTGATTGTTAAGAGCCTCGACTATATATATGGTGCGGTTTGTATAGAGTCGAGGCTCTAAACAATCAAAGTAAAACGTACCTTCCTAATTGGCTCTGACTTCGTGATTTTTCATTACTCTGATAGGATTTCTGCAAATTGGTTCTTTAACGGAAAGTAGAGATAGGAGTTTGCACATTTTTTTTCCTTAAAGGTTGTCAAATGCTAAATTCCCTAGCATCCCCAGTTAGCCCCTGTACCCGTTCCAAGCATATCTTTGTGATAGCTTTAAAAAATATTTTCATCTCTAATTATAAAATTTAAAACATCAAAAATAGCTTCATCGTTGCATGACCTTTTACTGAGTACGAAAGTTTATTAAATTACACTTAATTTTTCAACAATTTAAAAATTTATACTTTTAACGACTCTAACTCATGGTCATGTGTATTTTGATGGTAGTTTGAAATTAAATTAAAAAAAAAAAAAAACTTATATACCTTATTTTAGGTTTCATTTTTTGATAAACTCAATGTTTCAAAAGATATCTTCTAACTCCCTTATCATTTTAAACATATTTTTTAATCTAAACAAATGTGAAAAAGACATACTATTTTTAAACCCGATCTTTTTTCTCTCTTCACTTAAATATCCCAAACTTCTCTCTTTTTCTCTTTTCCTGCCTCTCTCTCTCTCTCTCTTTTCTTGTATTTCTCCAAACACCTCTCTCCTCCCGATAACATCTCACCTCAATGAAACATTTCTCTCTCTAGAAATTTGGAAGAATAGCTTTTATAAAAAGCATGTCTTTTTAGATTTGTTTGGCCTAAAAACACAAGTTTAAATTAGCTCAAAGGGTTAGAAGAAATAAAATCTACAATTTTTATACCTCAAGATATCTTTTAAAACCTTGGGTCTGTTCTGAAATGAAACTTAAAAATAAAAGGTATGGAGATATTTTTCCATTAAAAAATATAGGTAAAATGTTAAGTATTTAATCTCCAATGTGTATTTTGATAATTCTCGAAAAAGTAAGTGATTGAACATGCATTGTAAGGCTATTGTACTCATGCAATTTGTTAATAAATAAAGTCATCTTACTTACCCAAAGAAAATAAAAAGAAAAATGATTCTCGCCCTAACCCTTAGTGTGTAGGCAAAGGCAGTGTTTGGTCCACTCGCATAATTTCTCTCCCTTCTTATTGAAAACACCTCAAAGTGCTCTCTCCGGGCTATTCGAGAAATAAAAACGAAATATATGTAATCATACATACCCTATTCATTAAAAAAGGTCTGGTTTTATACGTTAAGACACACCGAGCAATTTGAAGTAGAACTCCTCACACACGAAGCACTTTTCCTTGAAAAAATATTGCAGAGGCCAAACTAGGTCTAACATTTTTTTCTTTTCATGAAAAAGGAAACTTCTTGTGGTGGAGAGGCAAAGTTGGAAAGTGCTTCTCCTGTGCATTATAACGTCGCAAGGAATATCAGATGGAGATAATGTTACAATTGGGTATCATGGAGGCAATGTTATGATTGGGTATCTCTCATGGTCACTTCAATAATAAGGCCCCAGTGAATTGATACCAGTACACACCAAATTGGTGAAGTGGACAATGAAGTAGCACATCAAATATGTACTCATGAGATCATCACCATATTAGGGGCGGCAACGGGTGGGGTTTGTCTGACCGCTGTCCCGGATCCGAATAGAATTCAGATCTAGGTTTTAGGCTCAAACCCAACCTTTTAGCTTCAAAATTTGGACCCATACCCAGACTTGAGGTCGGGTTTACCGGTCGTATCCCGGGTCTGGTCAGGTTCATTGCCACCCGTCTGTTTATGTGACACACGTGGGCTAGGATAATGAGCTTTCTTTCTTTTCCCCTTTTTTTTACCATCATATACCTATATTATTGGCAACATTTCCATAACCGCACAACATTTATGAATACCCACAAATACCCACTTTCTTTATTCATAACTACTGGAAATTCCTAAGAAACAAGTGTATTCGCAACATTTATGAATACCCATTTATATCCATATTATTTGGGTCGAATCCAGCTGAATTTGGGCCCGAATAGTATTTAGATCCAGGTTTTGAACCGGGACCTGAGATCGGGTCTACCCGTCAGGTGCCGGGTCTGATCAGATCCATTGCCACCGTTATCGCCATTTGGAAAATGGGATTGATTGTGTCATGAACAAAGGGACTCGCTAACATACTAATAAGACTTTGCTTTTTTTTTTTCTTTTCTTTTTCTTTTAACTCAAATAACAAATGCATTCTAATTTTCCATAAATTTTGGAATTTTTAGAAACTGATAAGTTCATTATTGGAGGCTAAAAAATGGCCATGTGCCCCTCCCAACCTGCAACTTGGGCAAAGGAATAGTACAAGTATACAAACAACAAACGCTCTCGATTGGATACTTCGACAAAAACCTCCAATAATTCAATAGGAAAGTTGGCAATGATACGGGCAGTAATGATTGGCATCGGTATCAGTCAATTGTTATGAGATTAGAGATAATTGTTGTTCTAAATCTATAAAGTCTTTCGAATTTGGCTGGGATGGTATGCTATGAGACTATTTATCTTTGATATAATGTTGTCACAATTCAATCTAACTATTATATGTCCAATTAGATGGCTTAAGATGTGTCACAAATTTCAAAAAAACAATTGTTGAGCTTTGAATTTAGTCACTAGTACATCTATAACTATTTGGTTTTAAATTTGATGGACAAGAGTGGTTGTGATATTTTTGTATTAAAAATAAATTATATTTTTATATTTTTTTTTTATTTTGGCTAATGGCAAGAAGACACATGCATTTATGTTAACTTTTGAACATTCAAAAATAAAAAAAAAAGTCAGCTTTTAGTACATGCAAAGTGACCTCCAAAAATTGATCTTTCAAAAAATAACACGTATGTACATCATTGACATAGAGAGTTAATGGCATTAAATGATTTATTGTTTTGTGATGGGGTTTT